AGAACCTAGGACTCTAAACAATCAAATTAGAGCTTACCTTCAAATAGTGTCGAGAAATGTGGTTTTACTATTGAAAATCTTTGTGATAGCTTTAAAATATATTTTCATATTTATTTATAAAGTTCAAAGCTTCAATAATAATGTAGATCGACAGATTTATGAGAACTTGAAAATCTTGAAAATTGACGAGCTAGAAATGCGTTACAAAATACACTATTTCCAAAACTTGAAATCTATTTTTTTCTCATGTCCATGCATCTTGATGTCGAGATGATCAATTTGAAGATATTTGGTTATCAAAATAGCCTCTTCTAATGAAATTTTTGAGGTAAGGTCAAATTTGATTGTTTAGAGCCTCGGCTCTATATAAACTTTTCTCATATATATATATATATATATATATGGTGTGCAGCCTAGTGTAGATAAGCTAAATGAGCCAATGATCCAGATTGAATATGGGTCGATCACGGATGTTCAGTAGTGTCCAGTAGAATTTGAATTTTAATGCTTTTTCTACAAATCATAATAACCTGAAAATTGAGGCGTGTGTTCATTAAAACAGGAGAATCTTTGAAAAATATTTTAAAAATATTTTACATGAAAAAAATTGACCAAAATACACTCACAAAGTTTTAGAGGTATTTTGGTCAAAATGGATTTTGTAAATTATATTTTTAATATTTTTCATAGATTCGCCTATTTTTTAAAAACACATGCTTCAAATTTCAAGTCATTCTGATTTATTAAAAAACAAAAGTTAAACAGTATCAGACATCTGTGATCGTCAGATTGGCCCAGGTTCAATCTGAACCGTTGGTGCATTTAGCTTATCTACATTAGGCTGCACACCATATCTTTTTCCTATATATATAGGGTACAAAGGTTCAAGATAGAGAGAGTTGTGAATGTTAGATTTATTAATTTTGTAGTCTATTTTTTAAAAAAATTACTTTTGTGAGGTAATTTGTAAATATTGCTACAAGACAAAAATTACTTTTGTCATCTCCATAAAAGGTAAAGTTAAAATTTTAATTTAAGGACAATGACACTCTACAAATAAAGTTTGATGACACTAACTTCCAAAATGTCATTGTATTTTTGTAAAAATTTCAAATTTGTCTTCCTTGATGATAAAGTTACCTATTTAAATAAACTTTTAATAAAACAGTAATGATTGTTTTAATAAATACAACCATCACAACCCCTTTTAATTTGAACCTTTGTATTTTGAAAGGTTGTTAACTCTCTCTCTCTCTCTCTCCTCCTCCCTCC